CACTGTGTTCGCTCGAGCGTGGGCCGAGAATAATAGCTGAAAAGCGGGCTGAGGATCTCAATTTTTATGGCGTGTCTAGCCGCCTCCCGGCATGAAGAAAAAAACTTTGCTAACGTTAAGCACTATTTCATGGCTGTGCTAAGCCTGTTTGTGCTTTCCTCTGCTTTGTCGCTACATTAAGCAAATTTTTCCTCCGTGAAATATGCCGTCCCAAGGTCAGCGCAAAATTGTGTACTAAGCAGTGCAGTGAAATTGGGCCCAGGTTTGGAGGTGTTCAAGTGAATATTGTAATTGTCAGAAAAAAAAATTTGCGGACCGGCAGATTGTCAATGTACAAACTATATACAAAATCAATTGCAATATCACGCACACTTGTACATTTTAATACATTTTAATAACTATAACACCTTCTCACGTCTAGGAGTATCTCCAGCCACAATTTAACAAGATTTAAGAGATGAAAAATATTTCTTGCCCTGTTGAAAATTTCTATCCCTGGTAAATTTTTCAATGAATAATTTACTTTCTGAATTGTTCGTCGATTTCTGTCTCTTTTTGTTTTAATCTGTTTGGAACAAGCTCCCATATTGCGATTTTTGTCATTTAAAACAAGAGAACAATGCTCCTTTCCTTTTCATGAATTTGGCATTCGTATATTCAAATTCGGAAAATAATATTCAAATACAGTGTATTCGATAATCGATCAAATACTCAGATATTAGGCACAGCCCTAGCTACACGTGCGCGCGTTAGTCTGTCCTGTCAGCGCAGCCATACTCTGACTCACACGTGCACTTTGTTCCCAAAAGACCTTGGCTATATAATACCCAACTGGCTCATTGGTTTTGTAGCAAAGTTGCCTGGGGTGCTACATGTATGTCTATTTTGAAATTGCCAAGTAAATAACATGAGCAAAAAGAAGCCAGAGCAATGTTGTGCGTGAGAGTGTACCTCCATAGTCACATATATGCTTCTCAGAATTACATGTATAGATCAATTAAGTGACGGCTGAGGAATACGACAGATCCACGTTGGATGTGCTTGTGCATGTGCTGCATGTATTAATCTCTGCAAGCAATAATAGTAGATGCACCCTTAGGGCAAACTGCAACATCCTGACTTCTCACAGTGATAAGAAGACTAAACACCAGTGTGACTTTGTTTTTACAAATTTCTTACTTTGACTGACAGGAAAGAGAGACGAACCTTTGAAAAGTACCAGAAGGCAGCAAGAGCTCTGCCAGACAAGAAGGACCGGGAAGAAATTGAGCTCCTCAAGAAGCAGGTGGAGTTTACATCTTGAAGAAATTATCTTTGCCTTGAACACACTAGCATAGTGATTTTGGTGGTTTCTGGTATTTGGTAACGTGTCTCAATTAGTCTTTTTGTTTTAAAGTGGACAGACCTTTTTAATGAAGATTGACTCTACAGAAACAGTTTCAGTAGACTTTTCTAGCATTATAAAAATTAATCCTGAAATTACTCTCTTTTTCATATTTATGACAGAAGCAGACATATCGATAGCCATATCATATGCTGAAATTTGAACCCAAACCATAGAGCTATATTAAAGTACTAGAGTGCTAATTTCTCATTCTTCACATGGAAAAATTTTATGAATTTTAAATCCATGTATGAGCTTGTAGAACATTCAAAATCAGTTGGGATGAATATCGAATTATGTACTCTATAGTGCAACGTCCATCGGGTACCAATAATATCTGAGTAAAAAAGCTACGGCAAAATTAATCTGCAGTGCATGCGTTTGCGTAGAACAAAGCAAAATGTTCATTTAGTGATTGTGCATTTAGGTTTTTGCATATCAGTTCTGTTGACGCATTGTTCTGGAATACAGACACAGATATGCAAATAGCCGTACAAAAGCCCAAGTATTGCTTAGGTTCGTGCACAAACATGGATGTGCTCAGCAGGCATCACATCGTACACGAGCCAGCACTCTAGCTTTTTGCCCCATGCTCAACATGTACACGTGCCTCTCATTCAGGCAAATTTAAAGTAACCATATGTAATCCAGTAAGACTGGAGCACCTTTGATAGAGGTTGATATTACTGGATGCAAAAACTTAGCTTCTCAGAATAATTTGATTTTGACTCTCAAGCAGACATTTGTTACCCTGATTCACAAGCCATGACTCGTGTTAAACACTTTTTCATCTGATAAATTCCACCCATGTGATACTTTCTGGACCAATCAGAATGCACAAAATGTCTTTGTATTTGTGAAGGAAAAGTTAAGTTTTGGGCCTTCAATTGCTTTCTTAGTTGTCAGACCTGCAGGAGGAGATGAGTCGGCGAGAGACAAGGTGGACGGCATCATCCACTCGCCTGAGGGACCGCATCGACATCCTGGAGAAGGAAAATACAGAGCTGAGGGAGGAGGTCAAGCTGTTGGAACAGCAGCGTCTGCAGGCCTGGAAGAGAGAGGAGGAAAAGGTGAAAACAAGCAGTGAACTTTTTTTCATGAGGCAGCTGTGTTAAAGTGAAAGCGAGGTTAACCTTTTAAAAAATAAAACTTCCAAAACTGAACTTGAGAGTAGAAAGCAGTAAAATGAACTTTTCTGACAGAGTAGTGTAACGTTAACCCGCATCTATGGGTCTTTCTCACGCTGACAAAAGACACTGTGAAGCTTCCTCTTAGTTTTTATGGCTTTCAGCCGTTCATTAAAACTCAGACTGTCTTGCTTGACATCAACTCTAAAAACAATGTGCGTCTCAAAATACTACTGCGCAGGCACCTCAGCAACAGGCCTGCACGGCTTACCAGTAGGGACCCACCATACCGTTCAACCGTGGACACGCGTAAGCACCCCCGCTGGTCAACCAACACCAACGCTACAGTAGTGCCTATCTATTCTGATGAATAATATCAGATATGTGATTAAACATAACTAAGTTTTAGTTTTAAGGCAGACTGAAAACTTCGAATGGGAGTCTTGGCATGCACATCGATTATAAAATAGTCTGGTACCATATTGTTTGACATTTTACAGTTGTTGAAACATTCAGAGAAGGTCATCTTCAGGCAGTCAAGAATTTTTGTATCAGTAATAAACAAAACATTTGGGCTTTGTTTCAATATGAAGTTTTCATCACATTTAAATACCCACATAGACTTATCCTGGCTGCAGCAGAAAATCTTGAAAAAATGTACTGTGTGTGAATAGTTGGCTTTGGTAATGTTTTCAGAACAACCTGTTAATTGTAAGATCTTTGCCGAGCTACAACTTGACTTAATATCTAAGAGGTCATAGGGTCAAAACTTTATGCTGGCTAGTCTGCATTTCTGTCCAACTAAAGTATTAAGGCAGTGTTCAGCTTGCGTCCATTTTTATTTCCCAGGTGAAATCAAATCAGCCAAAACCTAAGCTGCAAGTGCCTGTCATCAATAAACAGAAGCTCCCTCCTCTTTTGACCGTCTTGGACCCAGAGCCACAACCAGATGTACAAGATGTAAAAGACACGAAGAGGGAGGCAGCCCAAGAAAATTCCAAGACTGCCCATATGGCGACACATCGTCAGGTCACAAACTCCAAACCAGAAAATGCTGCCGCAATTCAGAAGACAGTGGAATCCAGGTATTTTTAGGATTGTTTAGAAATATGTAATTTCCCCCAAACTTGAAAATTTATGAGTTCTACATTAACTCCAGCTTAGTAAACTTCCTGGTCATTTCTAATCATTTTTCAACACATAAAATCCCTGAAATGTACTGCCATGGTGATGAGTGCCCTGATGTTACAGCAACAGCACCCTCTGCTGTCAAGATATAGAATGGCTATAGAGTACTGAGGTGAATACATCACATGCACAATCTTGTGTGTGAAAGTCATCAGCACGTGAACGAACATGTGCACACTCCATTTTGTTTGCGTTGCACTTCCTGTTTCAAAATGACGTCACACTTTGGTACTCTACACCCATGTAGTGGTGAAGTTATGAAAAGAGTGCTCTGAAATTTTTTCACCCACTTCCGAGCAAGTTCATGCTCACTCAACTACTACCTGACAGTTTGTTTGTTGAATGATGTTACTGTCAAGAGAAACTTGGTAGGGCCTGACATGAGCAGTGTAGGCAGTAATGAAGTTTAAACCTTCAGTGAAAACATGTCTTTGTTGTGCCATACAGTGAGGACGACACTCCACTATCCACCCAGCCCCGCAGACCACCCCAGAGAAAACGGTCCGTCCGATTTGACGTTGACAGCAGCCCTCAGAAGCAGCCCGGCATATCAACAGTGGCAGCTGATGAATCGCTGGATGCCTTCAGCACCACTACTGCTCTGGGTGCTTCATCCAGAGAAATGACTGTACTAGACTCCAGAGGGAGGGAGATCAGTGAAGGGAACAGATCTATGAATAACAATAATGACGATGACAAGGAGGAAATACATCACCCGGATGGAAAGGTTAGTTGAGCAGCAAATACATTAAAATTCAGTGGACTTCAGTTTATATATGAACTTTACAAAGTAGTGCTGTTCCTTGTCCGTGCCTTTGAAATGTTTTTTGAATGAAAATTGTGAAGGGTTGACTTAAAGGAAAAGGATATGTGTACTGTATTTTGAGAGTTGGGATCAGAGTTCAAGGTCAGGAGTTTCAATAAGCCAGTTGGTACTAGCATGACTAGTGTTGTGTTGTTTAAACACAGAGTGCAGGAAGTCTTAAATTTCTTCAGAAGATACATGTATGTAAATTTTTAGAATACATCTATCTCAACATTTATTTTGCTTACTGCTGCGTGATGAACAAGAGACGGCACATCTTAAACTAGCAGCAACATCCCAGCACACTGCATGCACACTGGTTCCCAGTCATATGGCTCAAGAGTATTACACCATCATTTTACACTTGCATGTACATGGACACGCATACATACATCCAATGCCCTGGTGTCTGTACATTAGTTCTACATATACATGTAAGTCCACAACGACCTAAGGGGTTAGGTGTTGGCCGAGTCCCTCTCTTTTGTACGGGCAGAGAGGCACTCTTGCTTCTGGTACAAGCATTCAAAACACCTGAGGCTAATGTAATCTGCCCTAAGTTGAAGTGCACCCTCACTGGCGAAAGAGAGATAGACGGGTAAAAACTTTTCCAATGAGGTTCTTGCACGTGTTTGGCATGCACGCAAAGACCATACATTCTACAGTAAAGTTGTTGCGCCTACCCAGCATGCCCATGCCAAACGGCGGCTAAAGTTGTCCGTGCCTATGCGATGAGTTCGTACCAAAGGATCGTCTATTTCATTTAAAAACACATCCTCTTTTGTTCTGGCTGGGTACGGATAATATTATTCTTGGGACAATGTGGGAAGACCAAACCTATATGTTTGATGTAGGCAGGATTTTCAGTCTGCTAATTGTAGTATTATTGATTATTTATTTGATAAAAACTGACACATGGCAGCAAGCAGGCTGAATTATGATCATTACGAAATTAAAAATAAACAAAACTGAATACAAATACATAAAGTTATTATAAAACAGACACTTATGTTAAAAATGAAACCAGTTAAAGACAATAACTGCATGTACAAGTGCAGGTTGGAGGGGCAGCAAGTATAAATGTACAGGGGAAAAGGAATCCCTAAAGAAAAATTCTTGCCAGTGAGGGCTTTGTAGATTTGTTGATTGGCAATAGGGTCTGATTTTTAAATATGTAATTGAAACAGAACATGCTTCAGACTATTATATCTGCACATCTCCTTTGTTTTTCTTTTTGGGGTGGGGAAGTTTCACCAAATCCTTTTACCTTAATAAGGACTTTATAAGGCAGAATTTCAATGAGGATATACGTGTAGATGTCCATGCATCACAGTGCTGACATGATGATAATGTCCCTAATCCTAGCCTTCAGTCTAGACAATAATTATTCCATGTACATAACACATACAAATACTCAACAAAAGACTAGCAGATGCGATGTACAGCCCTCAGCCACAAACACTTTTACTGTACCTACTCATTATCAGAGGATTCATGCTGGATTAGTTGATAAATATGTCCGGTCAACATGCAACTTGTTGGTCAAAACAAGAGTTCGACTCTCAACTATAGTAACAAGATATTTCAGCATGAAATGAAGAAAAAATATTGATAAAGGTGGCTGTTGTGGCCATTGATTGAATTGAATCTCTAATCTTTTCTTGAGCAGTATGCACACCATGTGCAAACTAACAATGAGTGATTGCAAGTAAAATACTTTTTTTGACCAGGAAACCATTTTTGATCATGTTCTCTGAATCGGATACAAAGTAATCTGTCAAATAGGTTGGTGCCAGACTATTTTGGGCTCCATGCCTCATTTCCAATTTTTTAAATGTTGCTTATAACATTTAGATGTAATAAATTACATATTTTAAGTTATTGATAATCCTGAATGAACTTAATTCACTGCTTTCATTTCTGTTCCTAAGCTCCCCCCCCAAAAAAATAACCTCACATTCAATTCTATGTGGCAGACTTGTGAAATAAGGTCAGTTACCTCGACTAAAGGTTACCTGAATCCTGCATTCCCATTCTTGTTGCAGATTGAGGAGATCAGGAATGACGGCAGTCGGGTGATCACCTATAGCAACCAGACCCGTAAGGAGATTAGTGCAGACGGTCAGTCAGTCATCGTCACCTTCTTCAATGGTGACATCAAGCAGATCATGCCGGACCAAAGAGTGGTGAGTGCAAGGGAACCTCAAATGCCTCGGTGCCTATCAGATTTTACAAAATAAGTCACCAGTCACCAAAGCCACTTTTGAATCAAAGGCTTGTGAAGAATCTTGCACAGTTAAAATGAACTGTTATTCTTTTTCACCAATGTGATGTCAGTTTCCATCAGGCTACCAAATTTTAATACAATTGGAAAGAGATCCATGAACTCTTTGTAATGCCATCCTTATCTTAAGTTATCCTTAAGACATGTTTTGTTGGCATCATTCAAACATGTATGTTTTGTATATTTAGTAGTCTTCCTATTTTTACTCACTTTTCCATTTATTTGTGGTTGGGTCCTTCACAGAGATCCTCATAAACCCATCGCAAATCAGTAATCAAGTTTCCTCTTGAGTCACAAGGTATCCAAATGCACCAGTGCAAAGATTGCATCTTAGTCATTGTTCATATCATTTTACCTGCGACCGTAGCCAGATGGCTGTGATGACTTGACCAATACTCTTCACCCGAGTCAGTGTTAGGCCACACTTCTTATCTGACTTACCCTTTTTGGTCTGCATATCAGTTCGTGGTTGTAACTGGTTTCCAGTTAGAACTATTGACGCGATTATGATGCACATACATGTATAATTTTCCCTTGCCAACAGATGTATTACTATGCACAGATGCAGACCACACACACAACCTACCCTGATGGTCTGGAAATCATACAGTTCAGCAAGTATGTTCTTTGGTGCTATAATTTCATTAAAACCTGTGACTATTAAAACTGCATTATTTGTTAAGGACAGACGCTGAACATTTACCAGCAGAGACATCGTTCCATTGCAGACACTGGGCAGTTTTTTGGGGGGGTTATGCCTTTTTACTTGCTCAGTTAATGTTGTTTACATTCGCGAATGTCAGCCTGTAAACCCTGCAGCCGATTTAACAAAATTGTAACTTGGCATATTTTATCATAGAATTTACGCAGTGAGTTACAATCCATTCGGCACAATATTTTGTACAAAAATGTAAACAACTTCATATTATTTGACAAAGTATCAGTGTTCCCACAGCCTAAAATTATAGCAGGGTGGCGCTCGGTGCAAGCGCGCAGCACGAAGTCATTGCAGTGTGGAGTCCGGAGCCTGCTCAAGGGCCTCAGGAAATTTTGGATTCTGGATGCTTTGTGGTGCAGTCTGAGGTATTTCTGGGCACTTTCTTCAGACTACTTGAATCAAATTTGCTCATGGGAACAATTTGAAATGAAGGCAAGATTGTTATCAGGAGGTTATTAAGAGTTGATTTTTCTTCTAGGCATATTTTTTACTGATCAAAACTCGCCATCTAGCAGATGGTGTGGGGGTTACATGTATGTGAGTGGATGATTTACCGTAGCTTCCCTAATTGTAGATCTCAAAAATAACTCCATGGTTAGATTACAGCGACAAAATCCTGTTACCTGTGAAATATGGTCAGTAGTTCACCTCATATATTGGAAAAACTACAAAATTACTTTCAAAATCTAAGCTAATTTAATTTGGACTTAAGGGATCGTCAAAAGTGACAACACTTTTTCTAATTCTGAATCGGTTTAACCAGTCCCAAATAGCGACCATTTTTTTACTCATATAAAAGTAACCATGTGAAATATCCTATGTAGCAGGCTGATTTTCTATTTAAGAATTTCTTGATTTTGACAAAATTAGTTCATAAATAACAATTTCAGTGGATTAAAAGTGAAACATAAATTTTGACTTGAGTTTTTCAACTGTACTGCGAGCAACAGCGACTATCCCCCACGCTGCAGAGTTGACGAACCTATTACACATACATTTCTGTTACGCTGGTGTAGTTGAGTTTGCAACAGATGTGGTTGCACTTATGGTGTAATCCACAACTAGGAAAAAATATGCATTTAGTTTTCGGTCAATTTATCTAAAAAAAGAGGAAACTCCAGCAGTCATTTTGACTAAACATACATTAGGTGCAAAAATTTATGGGACTGTTAAGAAATAAGTATTTGGAATCACACATACAGAATGACCTATCACCCTGTAGTTTGGGTCAATTTTTTGGCTCTCGTGATTTTCGACAAACCGGTCAACAAAACAAAAACAATGCAACAAATAAAAATGCTATGACTGGGAGATGGGATCCAGTCCAGAATCTGGCTTTGATCAAAAATGCTGCTAAATGTTATACTTTTGTGCTGAATATTGATGGCAAACTCAACATTTTCGTTCCTTAAAGCACGGTAGACTTCTTTGCATTTCCATAAACTGTGAAGAAAGTGGAGAATAGGGAAAACCCAATAGAAAAAATAGCAGGGTGGTGAGAATTTTAGCGGGGCAACAAAACTTTAACAGGGTGGTCTAAATTTTGGCAGGGCGGCCCACCCTGCTAAAACCCCTGAGAGATCAGTGAAGTATGCAGCCATAAGTACGTGTAATGGTCCTAGACTGAGGTATTTAAAAATGAGCAAACTACACTAAATTTCTCATGCATTGTATTTTTCTTTTTATTCTAGTAAGTAAAATAGAAAAGTCAGAAGTAGCAGTTTTAATGCTGTGTTTTCTCTTTTCAATCAACTTCAGTAATCAGACTGAGAAGCACTACCCGAATGGAACCAAGGAGATCACATTCCCCGACCAGACCATCAAATACCTGTTCCCCAACGGCAACGAAGAGAGCATCTTTCCTGACGGAACGGTACTCCGAGTGGAGCAGAATGGCAACAGAACCATGGAGTTTCCCAATGGCCAAAGGGAGGTTCATACAGCACAATACAAGGTAGGGGGCAGCATGGGTGATGTTGAATGGATGTTGTCAGGATGTTGCATGGTGGAAGGATACAATTGGGCAACATAATAAGGGCCATATAATGTAATAACGCTGGGTAAAGAGCCTTGTGGTATAGCACCTTGCAAAGATATCCAAGTATGTGTGGCTCTTCAGAGAACCAGAGGGTATTCAACATTTTGGACAGTATGCTCTGTCCATTGTCAGAAGTCTGTTGACAGACAGAGCATAATGTCCAAAACATTGAGAACCGTGCATCCTCAAAAGAGATGTGCTTGCATGGTGCTATAGCAAAGTAATTTGCCATCCTCGCCATGAAAAGCTTTGAAGCTCATAATGCGATCATGGGCAATATTTCTTGTTATACACACAAAGTTAAGCCCAAAATTATTTACATCCTATGTGGAAATTGATATTCTCATATTTTAGTGTATGAAATGGAGGACTGAGAACACTATGGTTTTATCCCATTTTATTTATGGTAGAATACAAAGCAATGCAGCAATTTCGGTTTCTTTATTGTCAACTTCAAGGTTACATAATCCACATTTTTGGTTTTTATGCATGTCCATAATTAGTAATACCCCATGAATGATTATGAAATTCAGGCTTTTGTTGGTGTCTGAACAAGTGGTTATCGGTGTGAATATCATCCCAAAAATTTTCAACTACTCTTATGCAATCATTTAAGCTGTGTTGCAATAAATTTGCCTAAATTCAGTGGAGTCAGCGTTTTCATGCTCACTTCATGATCAGCAGCACAACCATTGACATGGCAAAGAAGAAAGAACTGAGTGAAGATCTCCCGGTTGCACATTGTCAATGGTCACAAGGATAGCAACGGCTATAAACCCATTCTAAAACAATTTCAAGTTCCAGTGGCAACAGTACAAAGCATTATCAACAAGTACAAGGAGTTTCACGCCATTAAGAATCTCAAGGGACATGGTTGGAAGCCAAAGATGACGCCAAGCCTGGCCCGAAAAGTTGTATGAGAGGCCACCAACAATCCTCAGATCTCTACCAAGGCCATACTGAAAAATTTGAGTGGCTCTGGGAGCAACATATCAAGGCAGACACTCCCGCAGACATTGTACAATGGGGGCCTCCATGGATGCCGGCCAAGGACGACTCCACTCCTACAGCCCAGGCACGTAAAAGCCCGTTTAGCCTTTGCAAAAGCACATATTGGCAGAAATTCAAGCTTTTGGTTATCAATGCTATGGTCTGATGAGACAAAAATGGAGCTTTTTGGGCACAGGAATGTGGCCTTCCTTTGGAGAAGGAAACGTGAAGCAAAGCGAAGAACACGGTCCCAACAGTCAAGCACGGTGCTTTGGGGATGTTTCAACGCCAGTGGGTCCGGCAATCTCACCAAAGTAAATGGCATCCTAAAAAAGGAGCAATACATCAAGATATTGGAGCAAAATATCAAACAATCGGCAGAGAAACTTGACCTGAGGCAGCAGTGGATGTTCCAATAGGACAGTGACCCCAAACACAGCAAAAATTGTCAAGAAATGGTTCAAGGAGAACGATGTGAATGTTTTGGACTGGCCAAGTCAGAGCCCAGATCTGAACCCAATCGAAAATCTATGGAAAGAGCTTAAGGCTCAAGTTGGAGCAAGAAGACCTTCTACCTCATCGACTTGGAGACCTTCGCAAAAGAGCAGTGGGCGAAATTTCCTATTGAGGTCTGTTGGAACTTGATCAGCAACTATCAGAACCGTTTGAAGGCTGTTATTGCAAACAAAGGTTATGCCACTGGTTAGTCATGGGGTATGAATACTTATAGACATGTGTAAAAACCAAAAATGGGGATTATGTAAGCTTTAAGTCGACAATAAAGAAACCGAAATTGCTGCATTGCTTTGTATTCTACCATAAACAAAATGGGATAAAACCAAAGTGTTCTCGGTCCTCCATTTCATACACTAAAATATGAAAATATCAATTTCCACATAGGGTACGAAGAATTTTGGGGTTACCTGTATGAACTGGCACTGAGGTCACTAGTATACATCTTTGTGCCCCATTGGACTGTATATGACTAGAAAAGGGCCCTAGACATGCGTCCAGTTTAATCTGATGAAAATTTCACATACTCTAGAACCTAAATGTATATGTGTTGTGAACTGCACCTAACCATGCTTCAGCCAACCGGGATTAAGTACCATCAAGAGGTGTATTTTAATGACCCATAAAGCATAACATAAAGTATTGAAGACTACTTGGCTGTAAATTTGTATTCAAGAGCCACAATCATTCAGGTTTTCTATCTTTTAGTACAGAGTGCAAAAACCAGAAGCAAAATTCACATGATGCTTTTATTATGAGCAAACTAATTTCTTTAAAGCTATTTCTTTTAATCCCCTAATTTCACCCCTGAGAGCAGAACATGAAGTAATATTGAATGATGAAGTAGAGCAGGTGGTCCATGGATTGGTTTTGCAAGGCAATATAATAATGCTGACCGTCAGGAAGTGCAGTATTTAAAAAAGTAATTGAAGTATTTGATGTGCAGGTTGAGCTGTTTCATACAAATATTAAATTTACACTATTAAATTTCATTTTTGTAATCAGGGAAGCCTGACTTTGCCCTCAGCAGTGCGTGACTTTGCCTGGTGAAAATAAATTCCTTGGATCACCAAGGGAGACTAGTTCATTCGGTATTTGGTGAATACTTTGCAGAGTTGCAGAGATGATTCAATTAATTGAAACCTAACTGAAGTTAATTTCAATTAATTTTGCAAATATCCCTGCCATGCCACTCAAAAAAAGACAGCAAGCACTCTTACGTATGCGTGTGGACGTGCTGATATGCAGACCCTTTTGTTGTTAATGGTATAATACCTTGGTCGCTTAGGTAACAGTGCCATTGGATGAAGTATAATTTCTTGGAAATGGATTTTGATAAATCAGAACTTGCACAGACTGGAGCTTTCTCGCTGCCAGGGATATACAGCATCTATGTTTGGTGTTACAAAAATACTGGATGTGTCAAGTAAAGTAAGAAAGTTGCTTGTTCTTTCTTGATGGGGGCAGCTTTTATTTTTGATACACATTTTCTAAAATGGCAGATGGATCTCTTCTTTTCTTTTGTTGACACTTTTGTGTCAAAAGTAAAGGAGCTTTAACTCCCTCTAACAGGCTTTAAACTTGCATTGAAAATTATTAAAGCATGCTGCCTATTAAACAAACAAATGAAAAGTGTAAAGATTTGCAAATTTGAGAAAGGTAAACAAAAAGCTGTTAGAAAATAAAGAAGAGGCTAGCATGGAAAAGGAAGCTGGGGGACCAAGAAACTACTTTTTGTTTTCACTCGGCCAATACCATTTTCTCCTTTGATGAGTTACAGGACCCACACACTTTTGTTTGTCTGGTTCCTTATCTCAACTCCCTAAGCTGCCTCTCAAAGGCCAATTTTCAGGCGGAGACCATCTTCGCACAATGTGCGACTGGGATAAACATCATCCGTCATTAAGCTGAACAACCTGTCAGATCTCTCGAGTGCTCTTCTAGATTTCTTAGTTGCCTGCTGTCACTGCCCCATTCAGAATGGTCAGATAAAGGCAGACTCTTATATGATTGATTCAACAAATTGCTGAGTTTTAAAAGGCCTGCTTTTGCTTGTGGGGCTTTCTTTGCTACGATTCTTTACCTAATTTTGATCGATTGGATTGTTATCTGCCAACTCAAACCGTAGCGACCAGCTGTCCTAGGCATTTTGTAGGCCTTTTTGCTTTCTTAATTTAACAAGAGTAGACCCCATTGTGGAGACAGTTTATTATGTCACCAGAATCAAGCTTCTCCAAGGTGTTTTGCTGGGATACTAGTTTTCAGGAAAAAAAGCGAGTAGAAAAAGTTCTACTCCCCTGGACTTAATCAGGGATACGATTTCTCAAACTTTTTCCCAGATTCAGAATGTTTTACTCAAAAACGCTGGATTTTGTGGTATTTGCCTATTGCAGTGGCAGGTGTACATGTATACTGGGTTTCATGGATCAGTGAGAACGCTCTGTAAAGTGGATTACAAGAGAACATCTTGGTGTAAGAATTGCAAAGATACATTCTCAATAAAGTTGTCCTATCTGTCAAAATCAGTCAAATGACCCCTATATGCCTGTGTACTGTTGCAAATCAAGTGAGAGGAATTTTTGACTGTCTATGACTGTTGCAGCAAAAGGAGGGTTAAATTTTAAGAAATATTTTTGTTCATGTGTTCTTTGACAGAGAAGAGAATTTCCTGACGGCACTGTGAAGACGGTGTATCCAGATGGTCGGCAGGAGACGAGGTACTCCTCTGGGCGGATACGAGTCAAAGACAAGGATGGCAGAGTTATCTTGGACAAAAAGTGAAAGACCCCCCCCCATTTGCTAACCCTTGTTGACCCACTGTCGTGGGCATTGCTAGGGGTGGAAAGAAATTTTAAAAATTTTAAATAAAAAAGGGTTACAGAAAAGGCCCAAAAAAGCAAAAATCTTTTTTATGCGCGGAAATACCTCAAAATCGGCTCCCATCCCCTGTCAGTGGTTTCCATTTTGCTGTTAATGAGTTCTGGATGTGTCTTCATTGAAGCAGACATGGTAATTAATTGCAGCAGTAGGAAGTCAGATGAGACTGTGTTTGCGTTAAACCCATTTATGGCTCGATGGCATCTAGAGAAGGATCCCTGTCCCAATGTTTCAAGCAGTCCCCCGTCCAGTGCCCCCTGAGGCTGGCTCATACAATGCAAAAACAAAGCAAATCTAACGTCACAAATCACCTGCAGCCAACTTCCCCCAAGTTGAAATGTGTTTAACCGTTGCGAATTTGCAGCACGAATATTTGATCAGACCTCACAAATTCGAATTCCTGTTTGTTTTTGCGCCAGAGATGGAGTGCCTTTAAGGCAAGACGTGTATCACATTGTGTTTTAAAAAATGAATACCACATCCACAGTCCTCCACACTTCACCCCACTTGTTTCAGACCAAAATATTGTTGCAAAAGAGAACATTCAAACAAAAAGAATTGTCTAATCGCAGTATATTGGGTTACTCGGCAATTTTTAATCTTCGTCAGCTTTTGTGAAAAAAAATAGAAGTTGCCTATGTTAGGAATCTCACGACCCCGCCAATACACCCCCTTGTATTTTTCTGAAACACTGTCTTGTGTATTTAATTTGTATTTATATAGCAATTCAATGCTGCCATTTCCAAAAGTATGTTTAAACCGAACTAGTATCTATGGTAGAATATACATATAATATGTTGGGACTTGTAAAAGCTTGTACAGGATTTTTGTGAATGAAATAAACTAAAAATGTGTATGTAGAAACATTCCAGTGTGAACCGATAATTGTAACCATAGAAACGATCTCCATTGTCTATTCCCAAAGTTGCATGCCTCGGCGGTTCTTTCCAATTCGGAACATAATTAATAAGCAAAATCTTGCTGCAGAAAACGATCAGGAAACACCTTTGACCATTTCCGTTCAGACAGCTATGGTCACCATTTGCCTTGGGCTCGTTTAGATTCTTCAAAATTTGTTAATGGACCTTAAATTACCCTATTAATTATATTGCTACGTTTGCACGATGACACTATTTGATCTTTGCTGTAACAAATTACATGTTTGCCCATCAATCCGTTGCCAAGTCCATCATGACACCAATTGAAAGCAGCTTGTCTGGAATTGATGCATAAAATGTTACAGTAGAGGGTTGTTTTTGCTTTGTTTGGGGGAGAGGTTGATTGGTTGGTATGGTATGGTTTGTTTTGGTTTGGTCGTGTTTGTTAGCTTGTTTGAGTATTCGTCTGACAAAGTAACCATCGTATGTTAACCATTGTATGGTTCTACTTTGTATCTTGCGGAACGGCATAAGCGCAGCTGGGATCCTTATATGTTCAGAGGCGGACCTGGGATATTTTCTGGAGGGAACAACCACCATGGTCATAACTATTTATAGAGAAAGTTGCGACATGAGTGTCTCAAATCTAGGAACCAAAATGGTGGATTGTGCGTCAGTGTACATTGACAAGTAGATGTATGCTGAACGAACAGCCATTTTGGGTTCCAAAGTGTGAAGTTGGCGTTACTTTCTGTATGTACATGCAGCTCTTTTCACGATACAATTTTTTTTCTTTCCCAGATCGGGGAATGGAGGCCGTAGTCTTCTAACCTGTATCAAATTTTGATCCGGTACAGTGGGGTATAAAACTTGCATTCTGCATAAGAAGAAACATATGTAGCCCATTGATGTTTGTGATTGAAGGAAACATTTTAAAAGACCAAATCAGCCTCGAGCGGAAGCACCCCCTCATCGGTTGACAAGAGTCATGTTGGTTGGGCCCAGTGTTCTTTTTGTTGGTAGCGATGTGACCGTAACGCGTATATTTCCTAGTCGTTTGTAAACCAGCGAAGTGCAGTTCCGACCAATGAAGCTTCTGTTGATAAGAAAATAGCGCCCTCTCGTGGTCCAGCTCGAGTCCCATAGTGCTTCATTTGCTCAAACTCATGTCTTTTCCCCGTAGGTCGATTAAATGTGTTCGTCGATTCAGTGGAATTTTTCAGCATAGCACTGACACGAAGTTCAACTTGGGTGACAGCCTGAGTTATGAAAGGGAGTGACGAAAGTAAAAAAACTTCGTGTTCTGACTTAACTCGTTTCAAGAAGCAGCGTTGCAGAAGCGTTATGCCCAGCAAAATTGACGACCGGGTAGCTGATCCCATAAGTCAGTTGTAATAGGCTGTATTTTGTCAGAAAGTTATCAACGCGCAGCCTTAGCGATTTTTATCAGCATTCTTTTGTGTACCATTAAAAAAATCTGAACTTCAACCCTCTGTTAGAGATAGGGGAAGGTTTACCCTTCCTTCTTAGGTTGAAAACCAGTTTGGTAAAATATGGAAACAAATGTCTCGGCTGAGCATGCTTTTGATCAAGAGAGATTGCATGAGAAAAGCAATTCAGCTTCGGTGTGTGATGGTATCATTCATTTTTGCTCTAGAAGCGAACGACAGGAGATACGGAGTTTTTAGGAGAGCCAACACGTGTCCCACTTCAGCCGATACTTGGTACCTCTCTGGATGGAGATGGCAGCCGTCAGATAGCATCCACCCAGCTCGCTCATGCAATTTGGCCAACCTTATTGACTTAGTTACTCGTACATTGGCGCTCACGCACTCTGTCCAATGATTAACTATCCGTGGGCGAGTACGTGTAACCATAGCAGCATGGAAAAAAATGTCTGTTTCTCTGTTAAATGAAAGTTCCGTTTTGTTGCTCTTTGATTTCCTCAGGTTCTTTTTCTTCCAATTAAAAAATCTCCTTCCTATTAACTCATAACTCAAAACAACTTTTACACCCATCTGTAGCACACTGGACAAGCCACTTTTTAAGCCACGACGATTACGGCTTACGGTTTCTGTGGGGAACAAGTGCAGAGACATATTGCACTTTCATATCGTGTTGATATCAAAGATTTAAAATTTAGGGGAAAAACTTTTGAACTGAAGCAAAAAAAGTCCCTCACCTGGATTTGTGTGGGGAAGGAGGTTTTGTATATAGTTGGAGATAAGGTGCGATTACATATAGTGTAGGCCTTTGTAAGCCTAAATGCCAACGGAAATGAACGTCGTCGCTAACATATCAGAGGAGGGTGCGCCTTAATTAGACTGAGGGCACATGTTCGAGTAACGACTGTTTTTCAACTGAACCACTTCCTGATTTATCTGGTATTCATGATATATTTGTGCACAAGTTTTATACAAACCACCAGGAAAATTTACCAGTGTTTGATAAAATTTCGTTGCTAGAATTAGCCTTAAGTAGACTCCAAAGTGCACAACCCGTTAATTAATTAAGTGATCGCCATTGGAACCACGATTTGGCCAGTGTTTACCAATTCACTATAGGTATTAACCAGTGAATGACTCGATCATGGGGTAAATACGTCCATGAACTAGGTCTATTGTTGCTTATGTCCACAGTCGAAGGACACAAAACCAGAACTCTTCACAAGTAAAAAGATCTCCTCTGAGCTTTATAGACTAATCCGATTAGACACCATAACTGCAGTGGCACCAAAGTCACACACACATTGACGCGCGCGTGCTCTTGGCAAATCAATCGTATGGTGTACTATTTACGACACACATTTCTCTCTCTCCCTAGCCTCTGTCCAGGCGACGCAACTACACGACGCGACGGCTCCCATGTGTCGTGCCGTCGGGTTGCACTGTCGCCTTCTTGCCATTACTTTTGTACGCACACAATGCGTCGCGTCGTGT